TCAGAAAGCTAAAATTTTTTCTACGAGAAGAGGATATATATGAACTAGACACAAAAACTAAGAGGAGATAAACATAAATTGTAATTTCGCTGAGACACCAACACTTTAGTACAATTTTTTATCGGAGTCGTACTATTGCAGTAGAATCAAAATTTCAAATTTCTATCTGAAACTTTGCTCACATCGAGCCTTTAGATTAAAATTCACAACTATGATTCTACTACAAAATTGGAATCCTGCTGTAAAATTGTAGTAAATTGTCGATATCCTAGCTAAATCGCAACTTTCGCCCATATCTCTTTAGACTTTCTCTAGTGTATATATGCTTCACTTGTGGAAAAAATTTCAACTCAATAGTTTCTTAGCATATGTGAAGGTTTCCTCATATAAATATTTTCTAGATATTGTAATGATAAACAACTCAATATTCTACAAGAATACATCTCAAGTTAAGCTACAAAATTTTAAACAGAAATATTAGATAAATAAAACTCTGAGGCTCCAACATGCCCAAGATACGAAAATTATTTTTTTCAGAACAATTCAGAATTTTTTTGTTCCGTAGATTTGTATAAATATAACAATATAATAGAGCACTTCTGACGAGAAAAGTCTTTAGAAAAATTCATTTTAGAATTTCGACATGAAGATTTTCATAGAAACTAGACTCACTGCGAATAATTTATTGTGAAGATGCATATTATTTCGTTGTTCCTATCCTAAGATATAGCTATAGTAAAAGTTTGTCCTATACACTATTCATATACATCAGCAGATTTCATGTACTTATTTCAGGATAGAAACACATCAAAAGATCTGAAATTTGCACGATGAATAGTTTCAAGTCAAAATTCGAACACGAACTTTCCTAATGTTCCTGAGAGAGATCAAAACCATTGACTAAAAAAAAACAAAATTAAGCTAAGACCCTGAACTCTTCTTATCATGTTTATAGCTCATTAGGGTCTACATGATAAACATAGTTGAAACTCCAAAATGATTAATCAGTTGGAGAATTTCCCTCGTGAGTCAATAACACATAAAACATTACTTGTCCTACACAATACACTCTATTGAAGATCTCTATTCACAATCTAGCATTTCAGACTGATGCGCTATTCATTTCTTCTAAAGCTGAAATAAAATTGAAATACTTTGATTAATTTTTTGTTGTCCATTAATGCAAACTTTTCTGAAAGTTCTACCAAAATCACAGATTCAAAAAGTTTCGAAAGAATTCATTTGTATGACTGTTCATCGGATTTTGTATTTGAATAAATATGAGCGTATTGAACAATTGATACACTAACCGATGATTTATTAAATTTTTATAACTAAATCGATATATAAGATATTGTTTGAAATGAAAATGTTTAGCAAATAATTGTCGAGTAGAGAATATTATTTGATGCATTAAAGAAATTTCTGAAAAGAAGAAAAAGAAAAAGACAAACACATGTAGAAAACAATCATCTAAAATAAAAACGAAAGTTTAATCAACTTTCGATTTCTAGTTTTTTCTTTTTTTTTGGTTAAAAAAAAGAAAAAACTTTTTTTCTTAAAGTTTAGCTCGTAATATAATATATTCAACATTTGGTATAAGACGCCATAGTTTTTCATGTACAGGTAAATTATCTTCTTGTTTTGTTTTTGGTGGTAATAATGTTTTAACTATTTCTACAACATCTTTTGCACAACCCCATGAAAGTGTTACACCTGCACCAGAATGACCATAACAATGTACAATATTCATACCATCAATTGTTTTTTCATGTTCAAGACGTACACCATTATCTCGATAAGGTCTTAAACCAACTTGTACTTTTCCATGACGAATTTGTTTAAGAGCAGGAAAAGCTTTTGAACATATACGAAGAATTTTTTGAGTATCATTTTCATCTATTTTAGTATTCCAATCATTTAATTGAAATGTTCCACCTAATACAACTGTATCCGATTGTGGAATAACATATCCAAAACCTTCTTCAGTATCAAATTCATAAACGGATTTAATCCATGGTGCATAAACACGAATAACCTAAATAAAACAAAAAATTCTCAATTCTGAAAAGATGAATCAGTTCAACGTAAAATGTTGGTCAGTTTGTCTCAAATCTGATTGATCGAAAAATGGATCAATCAGATTTCCAGAGAACTTTTCTTTCTAATTATCAGGACAAGTGTCAGCATGTTCCGGTCAATCCTAGAATTGTCGGGGAACCTATATCGAAATTAGGGGTATATGCGTGCAGCTCCGTTTTATATATAACGAAAAGATAGAATCTCGCAATTTGATTGGTCACAAAATGAACCAATCAGACTTCAGGTGAACCTTTCTTTTCTAGGCCCCAGACAGACCGACTTAGTTCAGCTTTAGTTTTTTTCAGTGTTTACGGTCTTATTATCAGGACAACTGCTAGTCATGTTCGGACCGATTATAGAGTTATCGGGGACACTCTCTATTGAAAAAAGGGTATATATATGAAGTTCCGCCTTATTTTCAATCCTGAAAGGAAAAGTCTTCGCAACGTAAAGTGTTGGTCAGTTTGTCCATGCTGTAATTGGTCAACATTATCAACCAATCAGATTTTAATAGTAGAGAAAATTGACCAATCCAATTTCATGATTCAGCTAATGTTTCAGGACAGAGATGGACAAAGTCGCACCGCGCCTCCCCGCACCGTTGCTCACGCCTACGCTACACTAGTCTGAGCTTCGATGAGCGCATGCTTAGAGCATCCCGGTATTCGGTGGAGTTTGAGAAACTGATTGGTAGAGCAAAGACAAAGAGAGATGTGCGTAGCGCCTAGGCGCGAGCAGTGGCGCGGGGAGGCGCGGTGCGATTTTGTCCATTTCTGTTTCAGGACTGAGTCAAGCGAGTCTAAAGAAAAAAAACAAAAGTCATTTAATTAAATTTACTTGTCCACGTGCAGGTCGAATTGTTTGATCACCAACTAAATGTCTTGAAGCTAAACCTGAACAATTAATAATAACATCAGCTTTATTTTTTAATTCAGTTAATGAATGAATTTTTTTTTTTAGAATTTTAACACGACAATCTTCTGAAAGATAACGTAATAATTGTGGTAAATATTTAATTACTTCAACAGTAATTGATGACATAACATAACCTGATGTTGGATTTAAATGATCAAACATATTAAGTTCATGTTGATCTAATAATCGAAAATGTCGAACTAATTCTGCAAATTTAGGTTTTTCGAAAATTTTATTATTATCTTTATTTTCACCATTAAAACCTTGTAATCTATATGATGTAACTTTCATAATACCAGCTCGAGCAGCTTTTGTTGAAAAAAATTCACTAACAAATATATCATATGTATAACCAGCCCAACGAAGTATTCGTTCATCAATATTTGCAAATCCATAAGGTTCCCAATATCCAGCTGATGTATCACCAGTTGTATCAGGTGTAAATTTTTCACTTATGATTGTTAATTGAAGATTTTCATTTGTTGCATATTCTTTCAATATAGTACATGCTGTTGTTAAACCAATAATACCTGCACCAATAATTGTAATACGATATGTCGTATCATTCGAGGATGACATTATATAGTTAATAGAAAAAATAAATGAAAATAAAAAGAGCTGAGTCTTTTCGATTATCAATACACACGATGATGAAGTGAAATGACTCGCTTATCATTGAATTTCATATGGTTTTGATAAGAAAAAAAAAAGAAAAATCTGTATGTCAATAAACATTTGACATCGAAACAAAAAAGACTAGATATACATAACATAAGAACATATTCATCTTTATTCAATTATATTTGAAATAAAGAAGTAATCAATATTTTCTTTTTAGTAACAGGTATAAAATTTCAGCAATTTTATCAAACAAAAAAAAGTCAAAGAAAAATTGCGAGAAGTGTTTATGTTTTGAGGAGTTAAATCAGAATTAATTAACTATTTTTATTTAATAATATCATTTATCGAACAAAACTAGTCACTTTTATTAACAATGCACTTTGTTTCATATCAAGATTACGTTTACAATTGCAGATGCGACTGATTTGTTGAATTCGGTTAAGATAGATAGTTTTTTTTGTTTTTCAATTAAATTATAACACGTACATTTATATTTATACTGCTCATATTGAAATTCGAACTTTGACCAAATTTCAATTTTCTTTTTTGTAAAACAAACTAAAAATAGATGTGTTAAAGCATAGCGTGAATGTATTATACTCTATTGTTTCCTGTAGAACATGATAGACATAGTCATACAAAACTTAAGCCTATATATAATTCCCACGGAAAAATTCTTCCGAAAAAAACCGCGGTAATCTGAGGTTAACCGCGGTTTTGTTCCACATTTTGAAAAACCGCGAAAGTCAGACCTTTTATGCAGTTTTTGGAAACCGGCGAAAACCGCGATTTGCAAATACCGCGATGAGAACCGAGAAAACCGCGGTTAGATCTGCAAAAACTCAGCTCGGACCGCGATTTTCTCGGTTGTCACCGCGGTATTTGCAAACCGCGGTTTTCGCCGGTTTCAAAAACCGCATAAAAGGTCTGACTTTCGCGGTTTATGAAACCGCGGTTTTTTCTTGAAAAATTTTTCCGTGGGCAGTAAGCTCAGCTCGATTCTGTTATACATACGAATTGTACTAATAGTATTTTTTTTTCTAATTTCATCATTTAAATAAAAATCAAATAATTCATAGTTTATCCAACTTGAACATATATCCATTTGATAATATTATTCAGCATCGAATATAAGTATTCCATATTAATTGTTCACAGCAAAAATTTATATATTTCATTTTTCCATAGAAATAATTTTCTTTTTATCAATAATAAAATCGTTCATTTATCTTTTAATCAAATCAATTATTATTATTATCTACAAAACACATCTCTCTTGATTTTTATTGTATGACACCAAATTATAATTAAACATTATACAAATATAAATAGACTATGAATTAATGAGAAACAAGAAGAAGAAGAAAAAAAAAACAAATATTTCATTCAATAAGACCATGATTAGCAAGTGAACGAGTTAGAAATGATGTTGTAGCGCCAAGTTTAAATCGTTTACTACTCAATGTTTGAACAGGTACAACTAGAAAAAAAGAAAAATCAATTGTTATAGACAAATCAAATAAAAATTCTAATGTTTTTTTTTTCTTCAAAGCAAAGCATTTGAATTGTTCTATTATTAACCTAAAAAGTACTCTTGCTCATCAAGTAATAAAAATTTTATATATAAATATTGTTAAAGAAATAAATAATTTCAATGGATTATTGTTTAGTTTTATGAGATATTTCATTTTTTCGGTTAAAGATTTATACATATATCATTTAACTTAATAACTCTTTACATTTGTTTATTTTTAGACTATGCATTAATCTCATAACAAAAGAAAAGACGGTTTTTTTTACTCACGAAAGAGACTTGTAGAACAAATAAACTTAAATACACAGTCAATTAATCTATTTATTAATTTACATTATTACTTTGTACTTATTCAGATAGGATGAATTTCTATTCTGTGAGTAAGAGTTAATTAATAGGATTTGCTTTTTCAAATCTTTATAAATGAATTATTGAAGTTAAATCATAGGAATATTTTTATTTTTTACCATGACGCTTTGGCTCTTCTTCTTCTTCTTCTTCTTCATAAGAGAAAAGACCAGTTGGTCGTCGAATTTCATTATTAACACTTAGTACTTCTACTTTTCGACGTTCTTGTGGTTCATCATCATCATTATCATCATCTCGTGTTCGTTTAAGTGGACTAATCATTACAGTTCGTTTTGGTATTATTGTAATATCATTTTTATTTTCAACAAGAGAAACTTGTCGTTTCATATTTGTACGTAAATCAATTTGACTATCAACTGTTGATGGTTCAATTTTTTTTTTTATTATTGAAAATGGATTAACAAATTTATTAGCTAAATTTGTCATTTTTTTACTTATTAATGATGTTTGTCGTTGAAATAATGATGTTGAAGAATCTAATCGTTTAAGACGATCAGTACCAAGAACTTTTTTTTGTAATGATATTGTATCTATAGACAAAAAAAAAGCGATTTAATATTTTTTAAAAAAAAATAATATAAACCAGAAAGAGATTTTATTGTTCGCATTCCATGAATTGATGTCGATGGAATTTTTTTCAATACATTTTGATATTCAAGTGTTGATGATGCTAATTTAGTTTGAATTTTTCCATTATCATCAACAATAAGAATTTTTTCTTCGGATTCTATAAGATGATTAAAATTATGTTTTCGTATATCATTTATTGTTTCAACATATGGATAAATAACTGAAGTTGGACCTATATAAAATTTTTTTTGAAAAAAAAAATATGTATATATATATTTTTTTACGAACGATCATTAAATGAAATTCTTGAAAGCATTGCTGGTGATAAATTACATGTTGATTTTGATAAAATATTTGAATTTAAACGTGTTGTTTGTTTATTATCAATACAATTTTCAATAACACGATTACCAACTGAAATATAAAATAAAAATATTAAATGAAATTTTTTTTTCTTAGATATTTTTGTAATTACTAATTGATCGTCTTTTTAATGTTAATGATTGATTTGTCTAAAGAAAATTTATTATAATGAATAATTAGATTTTATTTTATTTTATTTTTTTTTTATGATTTACTTTATCATTTAAAAGTTGAGCTTGTTTCATTAAACGAGTACGATCAATTTGATTAGTAATACCTAATTTATTTAATTCATTATCATTACTTGCTAAAAGTTCTTCGATAGTTGCAAAACGATCAGCTAATGTCATACTATATTTCAAAAGAGTACTATTATTAACTGAGAGATTCGAGTCACGCACAAATTTAAGCCAAAAGGACATATCTATATGAAACAGAATAAAAAAAAGAAATTTATTATCTGATACAAAGAAATTAATAATTATCTACCTGATGTCAATCGATCAGTCATTTTTTTTTAAACACACTTAGCAAAAAATTAAAGACAAAGAGAATTTTAACAAAGAAAGAATAACTACTTGATGTTATGAAACAACAAAAGTCAATTAACCAATGGCCATTTTATGAGAGAGGACGCTATACAACGATGACAGAACTGATTGTTATTACAAACACGATATCAAAAAAAGAAATATAGTCATCAATGTACCAACATAGAACATAACAGACCCATTAGAAATGTCTTCATTATCATAGATTGTTTAAGACATAGGCAAACTACTATCATAAACTCTGACAGACATAGTTACGAAAGAGGGCAAGAAAAACGGAAGATTGTGATAACACAGAGAGTGACCACGTACAGTTAATTTCATCATACTTGTCATGTTTTCATATACAAGTGACTTCATAGACAAATTATAATAATTTTACATCGGCTTTAGATGTATAGTAACCTATATTGAAGAAATTACAAGCGAATGGAGATTTAATACATAATAATGAAGATTCAGCCACTTTCATCTGCTCGCATCATTCGATATAATTCATGTGCGACCAAGACTTAGATCTGTCGATCGTAATAAATGTATGTAACATGATTATCTTTTCAATGTCAATTATTTGAAAATATAAGACTTGATTACAAGAAGATATCGACAATATTATAGAAACAAGGGAAACTATATCTATTTACACCAATGAAATAAGTTTTTCTCTTTAAATTACATGAAAAAGACATATCAACTTTGAAAACATTCGATAATTCATCTTGCATGACATGAAATATTGTATAAGTTCACACAATTGGCTAACTGACGATAATAAACAGGAAAATCATTTGAAGTTATTAATAATAAATGGTCGGAACTATAAGACAGTAGCGAAAGTATAGAAAACAATATAAATTATTTGATAGTTGACTTGAAAATTATTACACTCTAAACATAATTACATCAAACAATTATAATCGATATCATTAATACAATAAAAAGTTTTGGTAACCATATTGTACCAGTAATATTTTATTGTAGTAGAATGAAACAATTATTTTCAATATGTGTCACATACCAATGCTTATAATATTCTTATTTCATATTTACACAAGAATAGGTATGAGAAGATGACTATCTATATTGATTATCAAGAAGTCTAGTATTCAATAAACAATACTAGGCATAAGCGTTAGCTTTGAACGAAGAAAAAACTAAAAATAGTTACAGAATTCGAGTACCTAGAATTTATGTGAACTAATAGATTGACTCTCAAAGCAACAATAGATAAGTGTTCAAGAATTATCCAGATATCTCCCTATGAAAATTTTGATGACTAAAAATTCGACGAAACTTACATTCCCAAATGAGCTTCATCCTTGTTTTCTTTCTTGCTTATTGTCATTTTTTTTCTCTTACTTTTGCTGATATTCATCAACGAAAATTCTTCATAAACCTTTGAATCGTATGCCATTGTTTTTTTCACCTCTACACACAACCTATAAACGTATCATTTATTTTGAAATATTCTTTAGAGTTTTATGTTAAAAACTATATTCAAAAAAAAGATCGAGAACTATACATGTAACTAATTTTGATTCGTCGCTTTTTTTTTATAATGATATTTTTGTCTGGAACATACTGTTTTTTTTTGTTTTTACAAGCCATCATCTCAGTCAATTGTTTTCTCACAAGCGGCATACATAGTTATCATTAGATCGACATGAATCTTATCTTTTATTAAATCCTTGTGGCAGACATTGATGAGTGAAAAAAAAAAGCGAAATTTTTCAAAATAAATGAGAGATTACCTTTCGATCTCGTATCGCTTGGAACATCTATGTAAAGAAATAAAAATGAATTAGATACATTCATTATTTTGTTTCTAAGTTCCTTATTATTTTTATGATATGTATACAAATATGAATCATTATTCATTCTAAGTACTAGCATCATATCAAAACATGCTTTGCAGTTTAATCTTCTTCTCAAATGTGTAAGTACTTCGAAATATTTTATTCTAAATTGAAATAATAAAAATATTTGTCTTTTTCTCTCTTCCTACATACAGTACAAACACATAGTTTGTCATGATACAGGCAATGCATAGCAATACACAAACTCAAAAATATCTCATTTGATTTTTTCATTTACAAGAAGAGAAATTCCATCATGTTTTAAATTTTTTATCTCAAAGGAATTTTGCTACATACTTTTTTTTTCATATCTTATTAAAGGATAGTACAAGCATAGCTTCGAGAACTTATTCAGAGACAAATGTTCAATACAATAATCTTCTTCAATAAGAATTTAACGATTTAATTCGTTATTATTATGTTGTATTTTTTTTTTTTTCATTTTTCATAAAAGAATTAAGTAAACACTTTTATGACTCATTAAAACTTCTTATCTATGACAAACGACCGTCATAAAAAATGATGATATTTAAGTATATATAAGATAAACCTTTTTTCTTGTTCTTTATATTTATATATCAACATTCACTGATAATATCTTATACAATGAGTGAATCGTATCCACCACCACCAGCTTACGAAGAAATCGGCAAAACTTTAATACCTGAAAATTCTGATTCAAATCAGTTTGTACAAATTTTTTCTCTCTGCCTCAAAAAAAAAACTATGCTTGTTTTTTTTTTGTTCTATTTTAATATAGGCAAGCATGGTATAAAAAATTAATTGCATTAAAATTCACTGAACAAGAAGCAAATGAATATACAAAATTATTTGTAACAAATGAAATTGAAATTAATATGATTCCTGAACTTAATGATGCTATTCTTCGAACGATTGGCATTGATAAAGCTGGACAGTAAGTATAATATCTATAGTTACCTATTACAAGAAGAAAATGTTTTTTTTTTTTCTTTGTTATCTAGTCGTATTCGAATTCTTCGTCTTCAAAACAAAGGTAATATTTCAACAGCAGCAGCAGCAGCACGTCCAATAAGAGTTGCTCCTCCAGTTGTTAATGTAAATGAGAGATTGATTATTTATCTTTTATTTAATTGAATATTTTTAGAGTCCACGATGTGCTTGGCATCGAAATGTAGTAGCTAATGAAAAATGTTGTAAATGTAAACGACTTGTATGTTTAAATTGTCGTCGAGAAAAAGCAAGCGATGGTACTCGACGATATTATTGTCAAGAATGTTATGATGAATGTATAATTCTTTGAAGAATATAATCATATTATGTTTTATTTTTGAATTCATTTGAATGAAAAATAAAAAAAAAAAAACATTGCATGAATTAAAAGTTTTACTCTGTTTTTTTTTCTCTTTGTTTTGGTGTTCATTTTAATATTGTAAATCACATAGTTAAACTATACAAAAATTTTTTTCAAATAAAGTTATATTGAAAAATAAAAACAAAGTATTTTAAAGAAATTCTTAACAAGTACTATCTGAAACATCTATCTCAGTTGACTATGTCATCTGTTAGACGAGCAAAAAATGAAAGGTTATGTTTTTTTGAAACGTAACGTTGTTTGTAAGCAGTCGAGCAATGTGAATTCAGAGAAGATTTGAAAAAATTAATTTCAAATGTATCCTTTACTAGTTCCTAGGAATCATTTAGGACCATGATAGGATTAGGAAGGGCGAGGCACAAAGGGATGATAATCTGCTTTTTAAAAGATTTTTTCACACGAAATGAATTTACGCCACACTGGATAGGCTCAATAAGTGTGTTCTGCCAATAAGCGTGTCCTTCATTTTCAAAATCCTAAATTAGCTACTAACTAAGAAGTATTGTGGAAATTTTCCTCAATATCATGACAAATCGACTTTTTATACTAGAGTGTTGAACAGTATATATTACTAAATTTTCTAATGTTTTATAAGATACAAATCGAAAAAATGATTCAGTAAATTTTGTCTCTTCACTTATCTTTGGTACTGTTATTCAACATAAGCATAGGCTTGCCTCATAATTACATAATACTAGTGAAAACTGTCTTTCAAAAATGAAAATATTATTCAAAGTTGTATCAGCGAGTCTTGATATTGCAGAAAAAAAATTAGTCTTCAATGTTTTTTTTTCTTTATTTTTGTGTGTCTTGAAAATAATTAGACAATTTTAAAATAGTTGACCGCTTTCTATATAAGTGTTATCCGGTAGTAGACCCCGTCGGGTCCAGAATTTTTGGACCCGGACCCTGGCCCAGGATTTTTGGACCCGGACCCGGTCGCTTAAATTTTTTGGATCCAAACACAATGACAAGTCAGTTTAGATAGTATAGTCAAGAAGGGTTTTGTTGTTTTTTATCTATTTTCTAAATACATTTGATCTCTTCTTTGTATAAAACGAACAAAACTTTAAAAAAATTCAAAGTAAATTGTATGGATCAAAGTTTTCTTCAGACCTGGACCCAGTTAAAGCAAAATTTTCAGACCCGGACCCGGTCAAAATAAAATTTTTGGACCCGGACCCGTGCGGGTCCGGGTAGGGTCCGGATCCTACCCGACGGGGTCTATCCGGTAGTGATCAATTATTATAAACATGTAATATACCTCCTTTATTTATTAAAATTATTGAATGATTCACATTCTACTCTTCTATATGGTCATGAAACACTCGTTAATTGTAGACTAAAATTAAAACTAACAGCTTTTTGTTTTAATAATTATTTGCTATTATTCTATTTTTGTGAAATTTCTATCTGATGCATCAACTTATAAAACTGATCGATAACTATATGTAAATTTTAGGTTCATTAATAATAAGGAATTTAGATACATGGTTCAAATGTTGATTTGCTTTACACTTAGTAACTATTATTAATCGCTGATATACTGCGATATGTCGATATATTTGAATTTATTTATTGGTATGAAT